TTCCTTCCTTTCCTTTCCTTTCCTTTTTTTTTTTTAAACATAAAACACCGTTCTATCGAAAGGGGCAAACGTGGAGCTGCAAAATCGTGGCCGTTTTTTTTTTTTTTTTTTTTTTTTTTAATTTAATTTCTTTTTTTTCGGCTTTTGTTTTTTTTTACTCATAGTCAAGCGCCCGAACAATATCTAGGAAATACCATTTGATTGTCTACGATCTCGTAAAATAATATTATTAGTTCTAAAAAAATATACATATACGATTACAATTCTCTGTTTTTTTTTCAAACGTACGAATCGTTTTTTTTTCTTTTTCATTTATTTCTTCTTAACATCGATAATAGCTTTTTAACAGGTTTTTTCTTTTTATTTTTTGTTGTTATCGTTGATTTATTAATTAACGTCAACTTTTATCCATATTTCATCTAATATCTTTCGTTAATTATTTCGATAGAGTTAGAATATATGGAAAATAATTATTATTCGTATATTTTTCAAATATATTATTTATATAACTCTTATCGAGTATATATTATTTTTTCTTCTTCTAAATATTAGAAAACTAAAACGTACGTTTAACAAGAATTTAATAAAAACATTAGCAAACGTCGAATGCAAAGACTATACTCAAAGTGATGATTAAATAATTATTCAAAAATCGAAACTAAAAGTAAATAAATGTAATGATTAATATAAAATAAAAAGTCATGAAATAAATGAATATAATCTATTGATTCGTATCATTAATAATAATTAACAAAATAAAACAAAATTATTGGGAATAATTTTCGATAATTTAATTGATTATTCAAAAAAAAAAAGTAATGATTAAGTAAATTGTTCATCAATCGCGTATATAATAATTATATGACAATAGATTAAAAATCTAAAGTAAAAATAAATCAATGCGATGATTTAATAATCAAATAAAAATAAATATATAATTTGTATATTGATTCGCGCGTACATATCATTAATTCGTAATTATTAAAATATCCAAATTCATTGTTTAATCATTTTGTTCGGGAATGGAGAGATTCGTCGGTGATCGATTTGATTTTTCAAAATTCCTTAATAATTGAATATATTTTGTTAAAAATAATAATAATCGGAGTTGACGGTATCGTTTATAAAGGTTGTTCTGAAAATGGTTTCACGGATAATACGTTATACGTTCAACGAAACGTACGTAATTCGCTGTGTTGTATCTGCGTGCTTCACGCTCAACCGCGCGAACGGCGACTGAGAAAACGGATCGAGTATTATTTTTTTTTTCTTTTTTCTTTTTAACTCTCCTCTCTTACCACCCCTTTTCCCTCGTCTTTATTTTCCTCTCTCCCTCTCCCTCTCTCTCTCTCTCTCTCTCTCTCTCACACTTTTTTTCCTTTTGTCGAAGCCGACGTAGTTCGATATTTTGCACGCGCATTAGGTCGGTCTTGCTTCGCTGGTTATTTCTCTGTCCTAACGGCTTGCGAGGATGCAGTTCCACGTTGCTTTTCTGCACAACGTAGACCGTGATTGAACAAATCTGAGCCTGATGTGTGTTTGGCTTCATTTTTTTGTTTTCTTTCTTTTTTTTCTTCACGCTCCGAGGAGTAAAAGAAGAGAAAATGCATCCGACGGTTGTCGTCGTTCCGGGTACGACAACGACCTTGACTAGTTTAAACAATGCACGCGTTACGTTTGGTTACGTTAGGGGGAGAATACGAAAAAAAATAAAAGTAATATTTGTAATGGGGAAAAAATGAACGAAAGATTTAGAGAAATAATAAATGGGAGACTCTTTATGAGGAAAAATGTCTAAGGAGGAAAATAATATTTTTAATGGGAAATATAATAAATGGGGTTGAATGGGAGTGTCCGATTGACATGAGTTATAAAACGAAAAAAATCAAAAGAAAAGAAAAGAAAATAAAATAAAAATATAAAATAGAAAAGGGTTGTTGAGAAATGAAAATAAAAAAGTTGGATCATTTAGGTGATGCGTAGCGCTTGGGAAAAAAGAAAATAAAAAGAAAAAACGAGAGGGGGAGAAAAAAAAAAGCAATGGTCGTTCTCGCGTAGGCGTGTGTTTCTTTCTTTTTAATTATTAATCGTCGTCGTCGAGGCCAAGAAGTTCCGGTGGAAGTCTTCTGTGTCGACAGCACAACGTCAAGCAAAGAACACGCGCAGCTAGCCGAAATTGGGGACTAAGTGCTCCGAGGATGACTGCCTTCCAAAAACTGTTTGTTATCCCAAGCCATACAACGGCAAAGTGTAAAAACGGTACCTGGAAACCAATCAAATAATACCATCAAAAAAAATAATATAATACAAATATCAATTATTTTTATCTATAATTTAAATATATTAATTCCTAATACTCCCCCCCCCAGCCC